GTGCAGAGGCAGTCATATCAGAACTTCAAATGCTTAGAGAATTACAAGATAATTATGGGTGTGCATTTTAGTTTTGACGAATAAGACGATGTTTTATGCTTGTAACCCTTGTACAGTTTGTAAATTATACACAACACTAATCATTCCTAAAAGGCTAAATTGAGTTCCTGTGAATTATTTTATTTACTAGTTCTGTAACATATATACTATTGCAAATGTGCAATTCAGACAAGAATGTGTGTGCCAGAAGCAAGTCATAAGGGTACCTTTTATGCTGCTGCTCATAACTAGCATCACTGTGAACTTGGTGAATGAATAGCATAAAACACACAAATCATGGGATGGCTAAAATTTTCGTGATCGGCTTGCTTCTTTTCTCTAGTAATACACTCCAGGACATCATTGTGTTCTCTTCAGTCTTCCGTTGGTGCCTGCGCGACTTCCCAAGCTTTCTGTTCACATCAGGGAGCACACACAGTTAGACAGCAATTCCAAAGCCTAGAACTACTTAGACGCTAGCTCTAGATAATCACTGAGGACGGCAAGATTATCAAGATCTGAGCCTCTCGCAAAACTGAAAGATATGGTTATCCTATCGTAGTGGGTAGGTCGCGCTGCGCGGCCTGCATCTACTAGACCAAGCACAAATATGGCACCGAACGAACGAACCTGCGCCTTCCATGCAGTCTCGGAGTCCTTGCGCTGGCGCGCACCCGCGGCGTCGTCGTGCGAGCCAGAGCAAGCACGTGAATTGCGGGATACAGAGCCAAACCAGCGAAAAGGACGAACGGGGAGGAGTAGGGGTTACCGCGTCGGGCGCGGATCTGGTGAAGCCGGGCGGGTCGGGGACGGTGGGGGAGGAGGAGGAGGCGTCGGGGAGCTCCACCGCCCAGCGGCGAGCTAGGCCCTTTCCCTTCTTCATCGCCGGCGGGCCGATGCTCGGAGATCGACGACCTGGTGCTCCACCGCTGGCGTTTTTGCGGCCGGCTGCGTCTGGGCTCGAGACGGGGACGGGCGCACGACGCGGAAGCCCAAGCGGAAGTGACCATTGGGAAGGATGTGGACATTGGACATGGAGGGGGAGAGCAGCGGCCGGCGGCGATACGCAGGCAAGAGGCGAGGGCGAGGGGAACGGGCAAAGGTCGGCCCGTGATTTCGGTAAAATTCGAGGGCTTTTTTGAAAAAACAAATATGAGAGTAGGCCTGGACTGCGGGTTGATTCGACTAAAGCTCGAGGTTTTTTTTGAAAAAAGACCGCGGCTCGCCCGATTGAGCCGTCCGCGCTCCCGATCGAACGGCCGGAAAAAGCAGGCGACGTGACACGCTGGCTGGCCAGCTTTTGGGTGCAGGTTTCATAGGGTAAGATATTAATAGGAATCGAGCATGATTTATGATAGTTGACTTTTAGACGGCCATTCCTGGCTAGGAATGGTTCCGGTGCTATTCAAAATATTGAATAAACTGCAGCTCTGGAATGATTCTCGCCAGGAACTGTGGTAACTGAACGAGGCCTTAAGATGAAGGAGCTAAGTTTCACAACCTTGCATGACCAGAATAGTATCATCTGCATATTGCACTAGGGAGGGATGATGTCTTGGTTTAGGGGGGGAAGGAGGGAGAAGATTTCCTTGCTCGTACTCTTTGTTGATGACACACTATATAAGATCAGCATCAATGGCAAACAGGAGGGGGGACAAGGGGTCACCCCGTCTAACACCTCTCTTACATTTGAATTCCTTGCCAGCCACCCTATTGAGAAGCACTGAAGAGGTTGCAGAGGTAAGAATGTCACTTGGGCCTTGTTTAGATTGGGGTTAGAAATCAGTATTTGGCACTGTGGCACTTTTGTTTGTATTTGACAATTATTATCCAATCATGGCCTAACTAGGCTCAAAAGATTTGTCTCGTAATTTACAATCAAACTGTGTGATTAGTTATTTTTTTTTATCTACATTTAATACTCCATGCATATGTTCAAATATTTGATGTGATAGAGAGAGAGTGAAAAAACTTACAATCTAAACAAGGCCTTGTTCATTTTAGCCATCTAGAAGGGAACCCCTATGTTCTAAGTACTTCTGTGACAGCTGAGTGTTCCACAAGGTCAAAAGCCTAGCGAGGAAGAGATTATGCCTGTGGCTTGGTGAGTCCCATGGGCAGACCATGATAGCGGAGTGTTCCTCCAGCATTTGAAAAGAAACAAAGAAAATGGTATGAAAAAAGACGACGACAAAATCAGAACAGGCAATACATGGAAAAAACAGAACCGGAACAAAAAATGAGGAAAAAACAGAACCGGAAAAAGGAAAAAGCAAAAGAGAAACACACGGAACCAACCAACAGAAATGAAATAATAAAGGGATTTATACTCACGGTAACGGACAACGGAAAATACAAAAGAAAACCCTACTAATACAGATTTATACTCTTATTATGTTTTTCTATTTGAAATAGGATTTCTATTCAAGTTATTCAAGATCGGAGATATAGATTAGAATTCTTAACTATCCAGGTTAGCTCAAAAGACATACATATATATCTTATATACGGGAGGGCTTTTGACAGACGAATAGGGACAATTTCTAATTCACAAAGTTAGTTAGGGGAAGACTAGATAAAAAATAAGAAAGAAATTTTGGCTTTTTAATACTGCTAGTTATTATTATTATAGATATAGTCTTCGTGCTTATTACATTATAATGTCCTATAGTTTCTGACTCCGAGATCTCCAGCTACTATTAGGAAAACAAATCCGGTTATGATAACAAAGACGGAATGCTTACTATGTGTGCGTGGTGGGGGGTGTTCGCAATAAAACATATAAACTCTAACCCAACAGAAAAGAAAAATGAGAAATCCTAATTCTAATCTGTTTAGTACGTGGGCTCCCACCGAATGCTATAGCCTACACCTTTATACGTGACGATACATCAAAAAGGTATCAATGTCCGTCTGTCCGATGTGTCTGTTGCTTCTTTACTACTCCCTCCGTGACGATACATCCGAAAGTCAAAACGACTTAAATTTAGGGTCTGTTTGTTTCCATAAGTCAGGTGACTTATTAAATTAGGTGACTGAAAACCAGTAACTTATAAGTCATGCCTGTTTGGTTGTAGATGACTTATAAGCTCATTAAAGGTGTGGGCCCCACGCGAAAAAGGGTGACTTATAAGTTTTAAGTAGGGGTGAACCAACTTAAAACTTATAAGCATAGGTGACTTATAAGTTAGTGGTGTTTGGTAAAATAAGTCACTTTTTTCACTTTTTAACTTATAAGTAGGTGACTTATTTGGAAACAAACAGGCCCTTAGAACGAAAGGAGTATTAATTAACATAACAGTGAGAAGCCACAATTGCACTTTTTTTTTAACCCGTCATTTTTCCTTACTGACTACTGCTTGTATCTATTGAGAACTGATTGTTACTTTTGCTGATTCCAGTTTTCTCAGATTTAGATGTACTATTTCTTTATCATCCGTATAAACAGTAAATTATGCAGTCATTAATTGATTGTATTATGAGCTATAAGTGGGTACATTATTAACTTTAATGCAGAACTCCACAGATTAAAGGATATCAGAAGACTTGACAGATTACTACTGTGGTGGTGGAAAGGCTCAGTAATCACATGAAGCTGAAACTAAACTGGACCAATGGTTGATATATGCCATGTTTGCTTGCTCTTGTCCACCTGATAGTATGGAAGAAATTTTCCATCAAAGCAGCAAGAGAATTCTTCCATATGATTTTCCCCCCATCATTGCATCATGGTTTCAGAATCCGGCGGTGGCGAAGTCCCGGAGTTGCTGCCGGGAAGCCGGAAGCCCCGCTGCCAAAGTGCTTCTGCACCGCCTTCAACACCCGCCGGTACGCCGCCGCGGCAGCCACCATCTGTCCGCCGGTCTCCTTGGATTGAAGCGGCGTGAGAGACGAGGGGCGACGGCAGAGAAGATTGCCTGGCTCATATTACTTTAAAGAAAAAAATCAATCATTTTGGAAAGAACGTTTTTGAATGATTCGAGTCACTGTTACGGTCGTTGTGGAATGCGGATTATTTGCACAAGCTCATAGCTCATATTATCACTTTTACCGAAATTCGTACAGATCGGGTAGTACATCCTTATTTTCCATCACGATGCAGCGTTGCAGTCTCAGGCTCTCAGCAATCATGTTTTCTAAGCTACTGTTTTAAGGAGTTTAGTTCTGCAAATTGAAGCAATCTGCAAAGAGTTCAAAACCTGGACAGGCCATGTTAACAGACTATTAGGGAACAAAACATTCATTACAACAGAACTTAGGAGCATGTGGCATCATTCCATGAAGTCAATGAAGGGTGAAACAATTGTACACGCATCAGTGTTTCTTGTTGCAAACAACGATAGTATCACCATCAAAGGCATTTCTTGATGCATGGGGCAATACCCCAACAGCCCACGCACAGAGAGATTTAAGAACAGTAGCAGGTAAGAGTTTGAGCAGCTCAATAGAACATCATTTACAGGACCTTGAACATCGCACCCAACAAATAACTCAGTCAAGCTCAACATGCTACTATGTAACCTCTATTCTAGAGCAGTTACAAATTTACCAACTGATTAACAGTTTAGACACTGATCACAAGAAAAACAAATCATCTCGAAGCCTACAAGAACCGAATAAAATGGGACCAGAATCTCTGAAGGCAACCAGAGCAGAGGCTCACCAATTTACCAAAGATTTCACAAAATACATCATGTTGCTGATATCCTCAAGGATCTCCTGTGTGAAGGGCTGAAGGCAAGACCACGGAATAGAAGACATTGACAGTGATCCCATTGAGGATAGCAGCAGCAGATTGCAACATTGAAATACCCTTATATCCAAGAAATGGTGTGAAACGATGGACAATACTATGACCTATGGACCTTTCACAAATAAATTATCTACAACAACAACAAAAGGTAATGGGCTGATCACTCGATCTTCCAAATTTTGGATTTGCAAGAAAATGTACTGCAGTATTAACTTGATGAGGACGTGTCGACCTCCTTCCCATGATCTTCATTTATTGTTCTTCGCAGTCGTTTCAACCAGATCTCATAGTCCATCGGGTATGGAGTTCCACAAAGGCTGTCGACGTAATCCGCAAAAGCTTTTAACACTGCTGAGATGTCGCCCAACTTCTGCTGTATAACTCTCCTCGACCATGATGTCTCCCTCCACTGAAGTGCACTTTCAACAGAGTCAAGCTCGGGGCAAACTCCACCACAAGAGAAATATAGAAGATAAATTAAACTTTCTGCGTCAGATGCCCCACATAGTTTTCCTTCCTGGAGTGCAAATGTAGATGAGAAGAATAGATTCATTACTGGCCGATCCCTATCTTCTAGGATAGCATGACCCCATCCAATAAGCACAAAATATGGATGCCTTGAACCATTATTGACACGGATCACATTCTCTGGCCGGATATCACCATGACGGATTCCTGCAGAAGCTGCTGCAGCAAGAGCCGATAAACAGTCATGGCAACATCTCAGAGCCTCCTCAACACCGAACAATCCATTCCGTATCAGATTTGAAATGGTCTCACCAACTGGTGAGGTGACAAGCATTGGAGTACTGCACCATGGATGACCACAACTTCCATTTGAGTTAGGCTTGTTACATGGGCCTGGATGGATGACCCGTCCAGAAGATACCATCTGTGGTATATATCTGCTAGAAATACATCGTTGCTTCATCACAGTCAGTACTTTGGTCTGCCTCTGTACTTGGTACCAAGAGTTCATATCCTCCCATGCTGGTTCCAAATGAGAAGGACTGGAGCCTACATACAGCAAATAGGTTTTCGTAGGTTCTTCTACAGGAGTAGAAGTATAAATAGGAGGATCACTGTCTGTTAGGATGTCATTGATTTGAAAACCTTTCTGTGTGTAAGCATCATCCATCAATACAACAGATCCTATTTCAAGCCTTAGGGTTTCATGTGGTTTCACATCAACAGCTGCTTCCTCCTGAACTTCGACAATTTCAGGAGAATGACTTCGCTGTTGGAATCGAAATAAGCCATTACCATTAGCATGTCTGTCAACCAAATGTCTTTCTGATCTTCGACTTTGTAGCCTTGAACTATGTTCAGTTGCCAGTTCATGGAGAGAATACTTAGGCTCTCCATAAAATTGGATCATTGAGTGAAATATTGCAATGAGAACCTGAAGGGTCCCAATGTCTCCCCAGTTAGCATTCCCAAGCTTGTTCCATACTCGATCTATGGAAGAAACTGAAATTTTGGCATGTTTCTTTATCCATTCAGCAGCACAGTCATAAACATTGTTCAGATCAAAATCCAGCTTGTTCAAATCACCTTGCACTTTTACCACTCCTCCAAACTGTGAATCAACAAGAAGCAAGTAAACACAGTCTGAATTGCGAACAACAGTGGAGGATCTGCCAAAAAACCGAGATAGTAGGACACGCAGAGCAAAGAACAGTGCCTCCCCTAAGACAGCAGGAGATGGCTCCTGGTCACCCCCTGTCTTGAAACCATTCCAATATCAGGTCTCAACAAAGCCAATACGACAATATGATCCCATCTTCCTTGTGAATGCTTCAAATTCTTCAGTAGTACAGCGGTTGCACAAACACCATCGAGTTTTCCACTGCTAATAGCCTTCTCAGCAGGATAAAATTTGGAGCTTGTGCTGTGTATACAGGCAACTGAGAATGGCATTGTTTCATCAGGACCCCAGAAAGTTTGCCACAGTCCTTTAATGCCTGCGTGAAGGAAATCCTCTAAAGCAAGATATGCACTAGCTTCAAAAACATCTGATGTCGATGCATATAGAGCATTTGGCATCCGTACTAGCTGCTGAAAAGTAACACCCTCCAGAGCGTAATCAAAATTCTGTAATTCTGTAAGGTCGAAAGGAACATCAAAAGCTGGCTTCCTGAAACCACAATCTTCACTGTGACCAGAGAACCAATCCTCTAGGCTGGAAGTTAAAAGCTCACTGTCCACAAACTTCCGGAGAAAATCTTTGCATGTTGATGATGAGAAATTACGGTGCCGGCCTCGTGAGGAAGTGCTAGACTTCTTTGGTGCTGAACCGACTGATATATGGTCAGGCGATTGGTCTGCAAAATTATGTCAAATCCCGAGTTACTAAGTGTAAAGTTTGTACAAATCGATGTTCAAGTAATATAATATGAAAGCTTCGAGGAACTCTAGGATCCAAGATGAGCAATCAAACGATAAGTAGAAGATAAACAATAGGGCACTGAAGATAGCAAGTGTAGCATGAAACAATAAATCACAAGGAAAACTGGCACAAAGATGTCTACTTGGTTTAATCAATCAATACCTTAGCACAATACTAGTACAATCATATATGGGCATGATTTTTTTGGATGTACCCAATAAGTCCATACAAGTCAAAGAAAAAGCATAGAAACTTAAATATGGATCCAATATTCAGGACGATCAGAGAACGATCACCAATGTACTAACAAAAATGACTTCTCAAGTCAACCTGAATTTACCACGATGATCACTAGAATTAGAAACCCAAGAAATACAGAGAATCAGAGATAACCAAATATGAGCAGTAACTTTATTTACTGGACAATAGAATTCTGAGTAACCAAACGTAGTAATCCCATCCTATCCTTCATTCCTTGTACAAAACTTTACATGAGCATATCCCCCCACCTCCACCACAAAAAAACAGTGAAACTTGATAGTCTACCAGCGCCAAAGATTATTGTATCATGGTAGTCACTGATGCAAGGGCACTGTAGATGTTTACAGTTACAGAATATATGATATCAACTTCTGTTTTATAGATCTCAAATGACTGAAATTCCAAATGAACTGAATTGACAGTCCTACATTTTGCAATCTTTACTCCATTTAGATTTGTCACAAGGGGGGCACAAGAACATAGCATTGCTGCTGACCGAAGTATACATGGGATCTATGCTTGAACACCACAAAAACTCACAAACTTAGGTGGATGAATATGCAATGAATTCTAAAATGTGGTATATTATTCAACTAAACTTGTGATTGGGGAGCTGTGGATTTGTAATTTCCGTAACACCATTCCATTTTCAAGCTAACCCACAGGACTGGAATGAACTTGCTTTCCTTTCTGCATAGAAGAAGAATATACCCATCCCAATTTCGTTCACACACGATCCTGATTCCTGAAACCTAAAACTGAGTAGGATACATTCCCAAGACTGAACTGGTCCAGCTCCAACCTTAAAATAGGAAGTTAAATCTTATCAGCAAGCACACATGAGCTGCAAAACATTCACAGCCCACCTCATAGCATGCGAAACACTCGCCCGATATCAAGCTAACTATAGAGCCCGCATCAAGCACTGAATTCGAAGCTAAAATCAAAGGCTGGGATCCTAATGGTCTTAAGCCATACATTGGCACTGCGAAAAATTGAAGCTTTGCCTGCAGCTCCCCCAAATCGCCCGCCACATCCACTCAAAAGAATCAAGAAAAATCAAAGAGCAGCACAAGCAATCCGCCCAGGACAGGATTGGTTGTGCTTCGACTAAGGTGCAGGCCCAAACCGTGGGGAGCAAAAAAATCCGGCCGAATCGAAACTGCGCCTCCCAAACTCGTACAGCTCAGGGAAACCCCGCGGCAGATCTAGAACGGAGCTATCAACTACCCCCAAGAAGGAAACCAAGTCCAGCAGAGCGATAGAGAGATGAGGGGAGAGGGGTCGTAGTTCGTACCTTCCATGAGGCGGCCGGGTCGTCGTTCTCGTCGGGCCGGCGGCTAGATTGGAGCGGCTGCTGGAGCTGGAGCTGGAGCGGTAGGGCGACGACTACTCCCAACTGCCTCGGCGCAGCTCCGTGGTCGCTGGACGGCCGCCCCAGCCCCAAGAAAAGACATCCGTCGCCCTCCGGAAACAGACGGAAGGAGATGGAAAAAGGTGGGGGTTTTATTATTTAGGGAAAATCGATCGCCTTCTTCGGTTTCTTCTTTCTTTCTTTCCACCGATCCCCCAATTCCGGTGGTGAGCGAGAGAGCTTGACTGGCTGCGACGCCCGATCCCCCCTTTTCCTCCCTTGATGGCTCGACTGTCGACTCGACCACTTCTGTTTTTTTTTTACTGGGGAGGCGGGAGCAGAGCAGAGCTTTTTGTGCGTGCAGGTGCAGGTGCAGCAGTGCAGTGCGGTTGAGTGAGGTGCCTGTGTGCGTGCGCTGTAGCTGAGCTGTGCTGTTTTGGGCTTTTGCTCTTTCTTTGCTGCTTCGTTCGTTTCGTTGGACTACCCTGTTTGTTGGCTGGCATGGGCTGCAAGGATGAGATGGAGGATTTGTTTGGCTATTCCAACTGTTCAGCGATATTTTTCAGCGAATGAACGGTGTTTTCTTCTTACAGTATTTCAGCATAAGTCAAATTTCAACGAAACGAACAGGGAATTCTGTCTGCTGTGGGTTTGAGGTTTGAATAATACTAGTCCTAATTTGCAGCCTTGCAGATAGAAATTAAACGAAACTGTCATTTATGGAATAGCTGACCACCCACTGCACAGCACACTTTGTTGAGTAAACCATACAATATGGAGGATCGGAAGCTGACTGAGATCAGTATGCATGCGCTCTCATGGTAAGCAGACAAGATAACAGTAGGCGGTTTAACTAACCATGCTGCGGTTTAATCACCTGACCTCATGCTCTTCCCAGGTACTACTAGTACTTGTTAGCAGCTACTACTATATAAGTATATAGAGATTTTCAGATGCGCGTTCGTGTCTGCTGCCACCATCTTAGCTTGTTCCCGTCTACCTAATCTAAGTTATTGTACAGGTGAACAAACACTGATGAACTACTCACTCTCTGCTGCGAGCTACCTGATGACCAATGTACTTACTATCTGATCGAGCTACCTGCTGATGACCAATGTAATGTTGGCCAGCCATGTGTGGGTGGCGATTGAGTATAAGCCACGGAGAATTTTTTATTTATTAATGGAGACGTGTGTGATCATGCATCACTCTCGAGAGGGCTGTGTGTGTGTGTGACAAGCTGACATGCATACCGTTCCAATAGAAGACAGCATGATAGGGGGGATGGCAAAAGAGAGGCACGCACGCTAACGCTAGCATTGTTGAATATGCTTCCATCCATCATCCATGCTAAGTTGCTGCTAACTAAAAGGTGATCCGCATGCATGCACGCACGCGTAGTTTTCAACGTACAGTACTGTTGCCTTTTGAGCACGCTGCTGAACAGTAGCTTAGTGGACACCCCCACCCCAACCCCTCGCAAGGACCTACACGTACGTACTCCCCCGTCTCAAAATAAATGTCATTCTCGCTTCCATGAAATCAAACGCTTTCAACTTTAACCAAATAGATACAAGAAAATATTAATATTTATAGTACACAATTAGTATCATTAGATATATTGTTGAATCTATTTTTATATAATAAGTTTATTTGGAGATATACACGGTGCTAAGATTTGCTATAAATCTAATCAAAGTTGAAAAGTTTGACCGGCACGCATCCTTCACTTAATTATTTTAGGACGAAGGGAGTACATGTACAGAGGATTATATAGATGATAGTACTCCACAACTGTATGATGATGGAGCAGCTACTACTACTACTAGGTTAGTTAGCCCTTTCTGATGAGTTCTGACAGCGATCTTTTGTGTGGTGATTGGTTGGGCACGGGACCATCATACGCTATGATCAACGGAGTTGTCAGCGTGTCCATGTCATGCCCTGTCATCAAACCATGGACAGGCATGCATGCATGGCCATCATTGTGCATTAAGATTAAGGGACAGTAAGACACTTGTGTTGTATTATTGGGACAGATAGAGACATGCACACACGTCAAGATCTTGGAAAGCCATCTGGATCTAGCTATATCACTTGGAAACCCCGCTAGCTATAGCTAGCTAGCTAATACTACTCTATATGTTCAAAAAAAATGCAATTCTAGAATAATGCTAAGTCGGATGATTTGAGATTTGATCAAATTTAGATAAAAGATACTAATATTTATCTACCATACTAAATAAGTATCATATACACGCATGTTTGTAATGTTGTCTATAAACTTAGTCAAATTTAAGATAGTTAGACTACTCCATCTAAAAAATGACGCAATTCTAAAATAGTGTTAAATCAAATGATTTAAAGTTTGACCAAATTTACAAGATGTTAATGTTTATCTTGCTAGATTAATATCACTAGGCTCATCGTGAAATTTTTTTTTATGGTATGTCTATTAGGAGTTGTACATGTTGATAATATTTCTCATAAACTTAGTTAAGCTTAACATAATTTGACACTGACCAAATCTAGAATTGTACCCTTTATTTTTATGGTTTTCTCAGTGGACATGTTAGTACACAACATCGTCACCACTTTTTTTTTGAAAGCAAAGACTCGCAACTTTATTACGTCTCAGGTGGATCGTGAAGGTCACGAACCGCCAAAGAAATTACAAACTCTGGGAGGGGATCAACCCAAACATAGGATTGATCTGGGTCCCATAACAGACCACGGCGAGCTAACTCATGTTCACAGACATTACAAGAACGTGGAACATAAACTACATCAAAAGATATGAACTGGGTGTTTAGAAGAAATTTAGCTTCTCTAAACAAAGTACCTCCAGCGGAAAGATCATAGTCAGGAGATTTGAGGTTCTTTAATTACCAAAATCATAGAATCCGATTCAAGCTGAATTTGCATCATTTGGTGATAGCTATCAAACAGGCATGCGCTTCTGCGCATAGAGCATCATGAACATTATCCAAATTTCCTGCGCCGGCCAGAATCACGGATCCTTCATGATCCCTCACAACAAAACCCTAGGCTCCACTCTTTCTGTCCTGGATAAAAGAACCATAAAAGTTAATTTTCACATATTCAGAGTTTGGCAAACACCAACGTACCTTTTCTATCATCGGTTTTACACCTTTCTCTCGCTACAGCATAGAGCAAGAAGGGTTTATGGATATGGATCTATGTACAACCTTCGTTGTCGACCACAACTGTTCGCCAGCATTTGCCTTATTGCGTGCCTCCCACCATGAAAAAAGGAGACATATTACTTTCATCTTTGCTTCTTGCTGTAAAGATAGGATTTTCAGCACCATATCCTTTGCTCAAGTTGACTCCAAAAGATCACCGCAGATATATTCTATGGACAAAGCTATCCCACATTTTTTCACCATTTTACATTTTAGAAAGCAATGCCCTCCATCTTCATCAAGACGCCAACAGACTAGACATCGTGTGTCAATGTCCATGCTCCTACGTGAGATCTTAGTACGCAACGAGAGGCTGTTATAAGCCAGCCTCCATAGAAATTGTTTCACCTTTGGTTGACACGTAAGCCCCTAGATATTACTCCACTTGAAAGATGTTCCAATAACCTCAGCGTTGCTTGACTCACCTTTTTGCTTATTTTTCTTCATCTCTCTTTGAAAAGCTTTATTCCTCCCAGAGACAACTGCAATGGTCTCAGTCAGAGCTAGCTAGCTTTATTAGGTCAAAAATGCACTAGTACATAAATGGCGACGACCTGCAAAGTGGCAGCATGCGTTTTGATCAGTTTTGGGCCTGCATCTAGATCACTACTTAACTGGGCCTTATCGCTACTTGTAAGGCATATGAAGACCATAGCTAAGGGCCTGCTTGGCAACGAGTTTTGACCCAATATCTCCCTAAAAACACGAGTTGGGCTCAAATTCTTTTCTTCTCGAAGATGGGCTGTGTAAAATTCCTTGTGTGTGCAGTTGTTCCAAGGTGTTTTTCCATATAATTCTGAGTACAAAAAGATCTATTTTATCTCACTGATATAATCTGATTTTCCTCCTCAAATCAAACTCCAAAACTAGACATCTTACCTCCCACACTCTCAAACCATTCAAATTACCTCACTGCTCTAGTTTGGAATGGTTTTGAAGGTGATTTTTATCCATTTTAGTTAAAAAAATCGGTAAATACTCGATAAGGTTTTAAAACCGCAAAAAAATGTCTCCAAGCTTTTAAAAATTCAAAAATATTCTAGAAATAGATTGGGATACAAAAAATCTAAATATAATATTTAGAGCTCATGAAAATATCTCTAGATGCTTGAAAAAATAGATGTAGCACTATGAAAATGGGGAAAAAATCTAGAAAATTGCACAAAATATTCTAATTGATATGTAAACTTGTTTTGAAAACTTTGCATGGAAAACTCTTTGTAATTTGCAAAGAAGAGGTTCGTCTCAATAAGTGTGACCTAGTAATCACTCAAGGATTCATACGCCCATCTTATTCCTCAATTTATTCTTCACACAATTCATGGATGAAAATATCCACTCTAGTAGTTGCTAGTGGAAGTACGGGCATTTCGATTTGATAAGATTTGACAAGCTTGTAAACAATTAACTTCATGTCTAAAAATGATCTTTTGATTCAACTAGATTAATGGAAATTAGAAATCATAGATTCATAGTCCTTAGTCCGCAGTCCTCACCTTTGTTGTTGCATTCCACTTGGCTATCACTTGGTGTCCTGGGCGCCACCCCTCCGTGGCTCCGTCCCTCGCACTCGCTACTCCTGTGATTCTAGCCGCAGGCCACTGTCGGCCGCCACAAGAGCTCCTTCGGCTGTCAGACCTAGTACTTGCAAATGGGGAATTAGTTGATTGGGATGGTCAAGGACCTTCACTTGTTCATCAATGCCACCCCTCTCTCATGGACACTGTTCATATGAACCAAATTA